CTCGATGGTCCTTAGTTGGGTTTTTTACGGTTAAAGTTTGTTCTTGCTATTTTTCAAAAGATTCTGGACAAACTCACTCTCAAATTTCCCGTGTAAGTGTTTAATTTGAACCTGGTAGAAGAACTATTTGGCTGAGAGGCGGGAATTTTAACAGTTTCAGTTTGTTAGCCAGCTTGTTAAAATAATGACCCCTGCTACATCACGATATGGCTTACCTTATATTATATAATTGTGTAATGTCCATAGCTAGCTGTTTATAGGACGTAAAACACAAACAAAGCAAAATTATATAATCGATTCTACTAAAATGTCAAAAGCAGATTCCTTTTCCCATAAATATGGCTACCAGAAATAATATATCTCTCTTGTTCGATCTCTTGCTATAATGTCAGATAGGGTGGGGGATTCATTTTATTGTAAGATATGTCAAAGTGAATGAAAACCTAAACATAAGTCGCTCTACGCACCCCTGGAATCAAAATAACCTCGCGGTCGCGTAACGGTAAAAATGACAGACTTTGAAGTCGGGCGTCTCCTTTGTAATCTTCAAGAGACAGGTATCAGCCTAGCGATTGGTCAGGGGTTTTTTTGTACCCGACACCAATCAAACAGCTTTTTTCGTGCCTTCAATATTCCTATGACATATCCCAGGGGTCGTGCTTAATGGTCTTTCTCATTTTTTTATATTTTTTTATAAAGAATATAATTATTAATAATTTTAATAAAGAATAAATCAATATATTAGATAAGATAATAATTGTTGAAGTATCAAATAAAATTGTTGAAGTGACTTGATTGGTCAAATGAATAAATGAGAAAAAAAACCTGCCCCGGGTGAGGATCGAACTCACGACCTTCAGATCGCTCTGTTTTTGTGATTATGAGACTGACGCGCTACCTACTGCGCTACCAAGGCGGATATGTGTCAAATGAATGTCTGACTATTTAATAATTGCAATAACAGCACATCGAATTGATTTTAGTTGATACTGTATAAATAATAACACCGGGTGTATTTAGTGAACATTAATACATATCATGGTAAATTAATGTTAGTATTGCAATTTTCGGTTGTATATTTTTGACACCTGTCTGCACACGAGTTGTCTTTCTTGAGACTCTTCCGCCTAAAACAAGACGGTCGACATTGTATCGCAAAAGTTAAAAAAAAAAAGGTCAACAGCCGTAGACATAAACAAGCAAAGATTTTGAAAATTATATAGATAATCATAAACCTGTAACAAGCAGCAGAGACATATATACTACAGATCTGGCTTTATATATCTTTGCAAGTAGGGCGCTCAGGTCCACTTTTCGATTGAAAATGGATCAACGGTACAGGGGTGATAACTCCGACAGTCATGTTGTTCCTTTGAAAGGGGAGAACACTCTTCTGGACTTCCTGGTGTATAGCACTGTTTTTCAATGTTGGCTCTTACTTATATTTTTGACCAAATTTTGATCTGCCAATCTCCTTGAATAACCTCAACTGTTTGTCAATATGCTTCAAGTAAGACTGCTGAAAGCATTACGGATACTTGTACGTTAAAATCAATCATTTTAATAGTTTCAACAAAAAAAATCAATATTATAACATATATATTTATATATAAATATAACAAACCGACCTGGAAGGACATTTATTCCGTCTCTTTTAGGACTAAGGGAAAACCTTTTTAAATGCAATATCCAGTTTTTGTTACATTGTGTATGGAAAGTGTACAGATTTTTTTTAATAAAGTACATATGTACAAATAAATATTTACTCAAAAAATGTTTGAATGTTCTCAAGTGAAGATATTTGCTCTTGTTTTCTTTTGCTGAAATATGGTTTGTGAATTAAATTCAAAATCACTAACAGTGCTGCATTCACACACTAATATCATCTAACTTCAAAGTTGGCCAGTAGGGCCGAAATTTAGCTACATATGTATATAGCCTGATATATCGGTCATGGTTTAAATATAAAACAAACAGTTCGTACTGATGGTATCGGTCTGTAATTTGTGAATCTTTATCTGATATAATGAATGGATCAGGCAAGTCAAGTGTAATGAGTGACTGTTTGTCGCTGACGTCAGATATTCTAATGACTGTGAAAACAGAAAGGAAGTCTGTAAAGCGACGACAGAAAAAGAAATTTGGTCCAAAGATTAAAACTCAAACACTTATAAAATTAACTCACATTTGAAAGGTTCATGAAAATAGAATGAAAACATGAAATTTTAGAGTGATGACACAAACTGAATTTATAGATATGGTGACCTTGGATTTGACTCCAGAAATGTGAACCACTAACTCATAAAAGGGGATGTTTATGGCGGTATATATGAGGTTTCGTGACAAAGAAGAAATAAAGTCTGTTGTGTGATGACTCTGTTTATAGTATCTGTTACATTGTTGAACTCTTATAAGAATTTTTGTTTGTGAATACATCCATGAAGTTAGTAATTTTTGGTATGCTGTATCTACATGTATTACCACAATGTAAAAGTACAGTCCCGTGTGTGTGGTACGTCCATGTTTTAAGATACAAGATGGTAGACTGTGCTAGTGGACGTGCAAGTCCCCGAGGTTTACCGTAACCTTAAAGGCCACATTTAACTCATTTGAGTAATGGCACGGTTCTCAATATTGACACTTTACTCGTTATTATTAATATGAAATTAGCCAGTACTCCTCTTAATTCACGTGATCAATCACATATACGATCAAGTGGGAGTTCTCCAGATACTCCGATTTCCTCTCACATTAAGACTCTCCGCACAGTGACGCGCACTAGCATCCGGACTAACAATAATGATTAATTACTTGTTTCAAAATTGTTGTAAACAAATAAGGTTCATTTTTATTTAAAACGCGAAAAGAACGGAATAGCCATGTCAGAGAAAGATGCAGTCTTCTAGAACTGGAATATATGGACATAAAAGAAACCGTATGGAAAATCGGTTTACACTCATAGAAAGTGACAGTGGAGCCCAAACACCAACATATTCTGGTCATGTCTGTCATCTAGGAAGGATGATAACGGAATCATAACGTCCTAGACTGTAACAAATGTTCAACCATTGACTCTAAAAAGAAGGGCTTAAACGTAACTGGGCAGATCAATCCCTCCGATATTCATCGTCATATGCAGGAGGGTATACGACAAAAGTGCTATTGTTGTGACTGGAGGAGTACCAAATGGAGTACCAATTGATAATAGGGAGAAGCGCAGTGACCTAAGAAATTAATTCCTATGTTGGCTGCATGTTGCAGGGTCATGGAACACATCATCGTTATTAACCTTTTCGGATACAGGGGAGGAACTTCCTCTATGAATTGCAGCATAGTTTTAGAGACAAACAACTCTTCAAAACTCCGACGTTTTCTCAAAACGTTGTCAACAACATAAAGGAAGGGAACCAACAATAGTCACACCTTTCTCAGAGGATTTCACAAGGTCAATCAACTTAGTCTGTTCCTGAAGATGAAACAGTATAGGATGAGAGGCAATGAATGATTCAGGGTATACTCCATATAAGAAGCCAAGTTGAAGTTTTGGGCTGAGAACAGTTCAATGAAGCAGACGATACTAATATTCGGAGTTCCAATGGCATCAGGTGTCGGCCCGATGTCGTTCCTGTAATTCGTTAGCGACACCTCCGACAGCATCGGTTGCCTGTTCGGCTGTTTGCAGACAGCACCATCATATATATTACTCTGAGTATTTGGAGAAAGGTCTCAAGAGGTTAGAGGGATTGGGCAAAAAGTTGTAGATGAGTTTAACGCAAGAAGAAACCAATGGGGTTTATGAAGAGGATTTTGAACTATCCATGTGAAGCCTGATGTACGCTTACATTGTATGAAACCCATACACAGAAAAAAAGTTTTGTAAAAACCGGGTAAAAGACCAAAATAAAATGTATTGACGATGAAACTGTTAGAACGATGGAGTGTTCCATGGTGATAAGAACGATGGAGTGAGTTCCAGGGTGACAATATCCTCGTTCGATGGGCACAGTAGGCTGTAGACATTCCCATTTGAAAAAAGCCTGCCCCCTTCTGGCTAACCTGTTTTTCTTTTCATATGAGGATGAATTTATTGAAGAGCAACAAAGCTTTCGCCATGACTTTAAATATCGTTTTTGATGTGCCTTATCTGTAAATAACAATGAATGTATTGACCATACCGATCGTACATACTTCAAATTATGGATACTTTTGTCACTTCTATATAATCCACAATCCTCCATCTTTACTTACAACGTGACGACTTACAGGGACGACGTACTACTAAGCGGTACGATTTCCTGTTTCTGACAGCGATCTTTCTCTTCCGTGATAGTAACATCACTGTTCTAAATCTACGGTCGGTGTATCCATGTCGCAGTTGAGTTTTTGTGACATCATGATTTCGGTGTTAGATTCGCGACTGCTGACGGACAAACTTGTAGCTGAAGACCATTGCATGTTTTATGGTCGCCATCATGACCTCATTGGTTTAATATCATATTGTCTTTGTGTAATACGAAGGGCAATGCTTTTAAATATGCTCACTAATTCGGCATTACTTGCATTTGACCTGGATTTACATGGTTGGTGTTGTCGATGAAGCAGACGACGCTTACCCTCCCGTAACACATGGTCTTATTATTCTTGTAAGGGGTTTTTTGATCTCCTTGTAAATATGTCCTTTGTTCATACTATGCCCGAGTTTTATCGATATCTGAGATACATTTATATTTTTGGTGACACATCGGCATTTCTTGTTTTTCTTTTTCCTGCTATCGTTAATTACCAGAAGTTGGAGTAATAGAAGTAATAGGCTTCGCATTGTACACGGCTTTAACCTTTTATATATAAATCACTACACTTCTAAGAGGCATTTGTATTATCTATTATTCTGAACCAGCAAATTATATCGATTGGTATACAGACGATGAAGAGGAGAGGACCTCTGTGAGAATTAATATGTAGTCATATATGTAGGGTAGTGAATAAAACAAACGATACTATAGGCAGAAAGGTAATTTAATATTAATCATAAGAAATGTAGAAACAGTTAAAGGATAAGTAGTAGATGTTAATTCAATGTTAATATCACAATTGCATATTTAATATGAAAATATTGCACTTACATGTAAATAAAATGTAAAAGAAATTGCACTTATTGCCTTCGGTCGGAAGAATAGCAACCCTGACCACTCTAACTGATGTTTTAACCACTTATCCCGTGACCTGTCCTGATCTTCTGTTGGAACATAGCATTCTAAATAATGTTTTGCCCATTTTCCCTTTGTCTACCATGAACTCTGCGAAGCAATTGCATCCTTCCTGTCTATAATTTATGTTGCACATATTTATCTCCCTTTAAACCCCATGCGCTTGTCAATTGAAAGTTTCAGTTTTTATGCTTTCAGTATATTACAGTGCACAGATATGGAACGTTACATAAGTATAGCACGCCGCATAATTATTTACGTAATGCAAATGTAGCGCAACGTACAGGTATAGCAGGCCAAACGAGTATAGCGTGCCAATCCAGTATAAACGTAGCGCAGGAATAAAAGTCACAGGAGTACAACACCTAATTATTTAGGAAGCACATGTATAACATGCCACAGTGGCATACTTGTATTTGTCACACATGTATTGCACGCCACACAGATGTTATAGCCACGCAACTTTTTTTATGAAATACAAGTAGAGCACGCCACACAAATAAAGCATGTCATACAAGTATACATGTAGCACGCCATACAATTATAGAACGCTGCTCAAGTATAGCACACCACGCAAGTCCAACACATAGGTATAGACACAAGAATAGAACGACATACAAATAAAACACGTTATACAAGTATAGCACTCAATACAATTACAGCACGCCGCACAAGTCAAACATGCCATACAAGTATAGCACATCACACCAGTATAACACGCCATACAAGTATCGCACGTCACACAAGTATAGAACACCACGCAAGTCCGACACATATGTATACAAGAATAGAACGACATACAAATAAAAAACGTTATTAAAGTATAGCACTCAATACAAGTATAGCACGCCGCACAAGTCAAACACGTCACACAAGTATTACACGCCATACAAATAATGCACGCCGCACAAGTATAGCACATCACACAAGTATAGCACGCCGCACAAGTATAGCACGTCACACAAGTATAGCACGTCACACAAGTATAACACGCCATACAAATAAAGCACGCCATACAAGTATAGCACGTCCCACAAGTCAAACACGCCATACAAGTATAGCACGTCACACAAGTATAGCACGTCACACAAATATAACACGTCACACAAGTATAGCACGTCACACAAGTCAAACACGCCATACAAGTATAGCACGTCACACAAGTATAACACGCCATACAAATAATGCACGCCATACAAGTATAGCACGTCACACAAGGTTAGCACGTCACACAAGTAAAGCACGTCACACAAGTATAGCACGTCACACAAGTATAGTACGCCGCACAAGTATAACAAGTCACACAAGTATAACACGTCACACAAGTATAGCACGCCGCACAAGCATAACACGCCGCAAAAGTATAGCACGCCGCACAAGTCAAACACGCCATACAAGTATAGCACGTCACACAAGTATAACACGCCATACAAGTATAGCACGTCACTCAAATATAACACGCCATACAAGTATCGCACGTCACACAAGTATAACACGCCATACAATTACAGCACGCCGCACAGGTCAAATATGCCATGCAAGTATAGCACGTCACACAAGTATAACACGCCATACAAGTATAGCACGTCACACAAGTCAAACACGCCATACAAGTATAGCACGCCGCACAAGTAAAACACGCCATACAAGAATACCACGCCGCACAAGTCGAACACACCATTCACATATACATGCCACATAAGTATAGACACAAGAGTATCATGCTACACAATTAGATCCCGCTAATAAGTACAGCACCTCATACACACAAATAAAACATATACATATACACGCCACACATGTATAACACGCCATACACTGAACTTTAAGGACGCCACACAATTATCATGATATTTCACACAAGTAACGTACGCCACACAAGTATAGCACGTCCAGAGTATATCACGCGACTGTGACACTTTATTTTACTTACGACTTGCATTGTACGCCACACACATATTGACGCAATACACCTTAAATACATAAGTATAGCACACCACACACTAACACAGATATTTTAGTAATACACGGATCAAATAGTTTTAGCCCGCCACACGCGTTAAGCACGCTATACCACCATGTCGCATAAGAATTGTTCACTTTTCTCCAACAACTTCTATTTCAATTACTCCAGTGACGTCACATATTTGTTTACACTGAAAACAAGCGATTATTTCTCGCCTTCCAGCACGCCTCGGTTTTATCTGTATTGTCTCCCTGATTTCTTCATCCGGGGCAATAGATTTCCTGCAAACAAATTTCAAAAAGATTTATCTTGACATTTTGTAAATTACATGAAAATAATATGTTAACGGCTTACAATGGCAAGTAAGATTACATTTTGGACGGATAATTTTATGACTTTTAGTCAAACAATTGCGCGACTGGCATCTCACAAACTAGATTTTAACATATTTTAAGCAGAGGTTCTTTATATATGATTTCGTTAAATAATTGACAGTTTATTATTTAACCAAATCATATTTGACCGAGTATTGAATGTTTATTTGGTTTGTATTGAATGTTTATTTGGTTTGGATTGAATTAATATTTTGGTTTGTATTGAATGTTTATTTGGTTTGGATTGAATTAATATTTTGGTGTGTATTAAATGTTTATTTGGTTTGGATTGAATTAATATTTTGGTGTGTATTGAATGTTTATTTGGTTTGGATTGAATTAATATTTTGGTTTGTATTGAATGTTTATTTGGTTTGGATTGAATTAATATTTTGGTTTGTATTGAATGTTTATTTGGTTTGGATTGAATTAATATTTTGTTGTGTATTGAATGTTTATTTGTTTGTGTATGAATTGGTAAGCCCCTTGCAACTTAAGTGAATTGCAATGGAGTTCACGTTGATTTTGACCCGCATTTTTACTTCCGTTCATCAGGCCATCATGTCAACCAAATATACTTTCTTCTATACTGATACAATATTTGACACAACTTCATTTTCATGTCTTTATTTTGATATATAACCAGTATTTTGTATTTTATTATATAACCAGTATTTTGTATCTTACTGAAGAGAGCAACAAGTTAGACCATGACATTACCATTGTCACTATCGTGAAACTTTTTTATGCATTTTCAAAAGAGGTGTCCATAAAAACTACACGTTGCCATGCATTTTACAGAATTACTCGTATTCGAAGTTTTGAAAAAAGAAGTAAACAAGAGAACACAAAAATAGCAGAAATCGAACCCGGGAAGTTCTGATTACAAATTCAGCGTTCTATCAATGTCGCCACAGAGAAATAATTATAATTGCAAAGCATAAAAAATAGTGTCATTAATGCGCCACAAAGCCCAATAACAAACTTGACTTGGAAAGTTTCTCTAAGCCAGAAAAAACGGCGTTTAGATTGCTTCATCTTCTATATAAGAGGAAGGGAAAACTCCTATTGGAATTCTTCTTTGCGATTTTAACTGATGTAGTGGGACAATTTACCAGAATGAATTAATGTTATCGTCAAAAGGTGAATTAACGATACAGCTGTTCTCATGGCGTGTCTTATGGTATCCAGCGTTAAAGTCATGATGTTACAAAGGCAATTTAACATTAAATTACTTATCAGTTAAATAAGCCCCAACTCTGAAATAGTCTGTGAAAGGAGAGTTAGCCATGGCGAGACTTACTTGATCTTTACAGCGGACGGTTTATGCATGCCCGGGCCCTCTAGGTTGATGTATCCTCCAGACAGGGGTACAGACAGTGTATTGACCAGCTTGATAATGACGTCCAGGGGTTTCCCAACCGTGGCCGTCCCCTCCGCCTGTAACATATAACATTTTATCATTAAGTCGCGTCAAGAGAGGAAGTTCTTTTGGAATGCAGCCACGGACTCCTATAATATAACACATTACTCATCGTCCTAAAATACAAGACAATAACAAACCCAGTGTTCTGGATTTCTTTTTGACAAATGGGCAGCGCATGATGAGTAAACAGGAGGTTAAATGTAGAATAGGAAAGAGAGATGATGACTTAATTGTGTTGGAACAACCGAAACCAGCTGACCAGAAAAACTGTAACATGAAAAACAATGACGCCATGAACTATATTAAACGTGAGAAGGACGATCAGCTGGTACAAATACCAAATAATCGTGACCGGCTATGAAACGCCACAGATCTATGTTGTTGAAAGTTACCGAATATGTTAGAGTAAGGAAGTGATTTCATTGATGTCAAGATCACTCGATGAAATACTGGAATTACGCCAACAACGAAAACCAAATCAGAGATGTTGGAATTATACGTGCGGGAAGGATAACACACAAAGTTGACTTGTAATCACAAGGACAAAGGAAATGTTTAAGAGTAAGCAGACTTTTCCCATTAGTGTACGTGTGTCTGAACCGGCTGATACGATCCCAGAATTTCAGCAAACGGATATTAAACATTTCATCAATACCAAAATCACAGAAGGGGAATATATTACAAGAATTCGACTTCACATCGGCTGGCATTTATACATGTAGCTTAAAACTGAATTTATTCAATCGATAAAACACTTAAATTTTCAACAACAAAATTCAGGTGGGAGTGGTTGTACAGAGTTATGGGTGGGAATGGTTGTACAGGGTTATAGGTGATATGGTTTTTACAGGGTTATAGATGGGAATGGTTGTACAGGATTATAGATGGGAATGGTTGTACAGGGCTATAGGTGGGAATGGTTGTACAGGGTTATAGGTGAGAATGGTTGTACAGGGTTATAGGTGGAAATGGTTGTACAGGGTTATAGGTGATATGGTTTTTACAGGGTTTTAGATGGGAATGGTTGTACAGGATTATAGATGGGAATGGTTGTCCAGGGCTATAGGTGGGAATGGTTGTACCGGGTTATAGGTGATATGGTTTTTACAGGGTTATCGATGGGAATGGTTGTACAGGATTAAAGATGGGAATGGTTGTACAGGGCTATAGGTGGGAATGGTTGTACCGGGTTATAGGTGATATGGTTTTTGCAGGGTTATAGATGGGAATGGTTGAACAGTGATATAGATGGGAATGGTTGTACAGTCTTATAGCTGGGAATGGTTGTACAGGGTTATAGGTGGGAATCGTTGTACAGGATTATAGGTGAGAATGGTTTTACAAGGTTATAGATGGGAATGGTTGTACAGTGTTATAGGGGGGAATGGTTGTACAGGGTTATAAATAGGAATGGTTGTTCAGAGTTAAAGGTGGGAATGGTTGTACAGGATTATAGATGGGAATGCTTGTACAGGGCTATAGGTGGGAATGTTTGTACAGTGTTATAGGTGGGATTGGTTGTACAGGGTTATAGGTGAGACTGGTTGTACAGGGTTATAGGTGGGAATGTTTGTACAGTGTTATAGGTGGGATTGGTTGTACAGGGTTATAGGTGATAATGGTTTTACAGGGTTATAGATTGAAATGGTTGTACAGGATCAAAGGTGGGAATGGTTGTGCAGGATTATAGGTGGGAATGGTTATACAGGATTATAGGTGAGAATGGTTTTACATGGTTATAGGTGAGAATGGCTGTACAGGGATATAGGTTGGGATGGGTGTACAGGGTATAGGTTGGAATGGTTGTACAGGGCTATAGGTGGGAATGTTTTTACAGGGTTATAGGTGAGAATGGCTGTACAGGGTTATAGGGTGGAATGGTTGTACAGGGTATAGGTTGGAATGGTTGTACAGGGAATAGGTTGGAATGGTTGTACAGGGAATAGGTTGGAATGGTTGTACAGGGTATAGGTTGGAATGGGTGTACAGGGTTATAGGTGAGAATGGCTGTACAGGGTTATAGGTTGGAATGGTTGTACAGGGCTATAGGTGGGAATGTTTGTACAGTGTTATAGGTGGGATTGGTTGTACAGGGTTATAGGTGATATGGTTTTTACAGGGTTTTAGATGGGAATGGTTGTACAGGATTATAGATGGGAATGCTTGTACAGGGCTATAGGTGGGAATGTTTTTACAGGGTTATAGGTGAGAATGGCTGTACAGGGTTATAGGTTGGAATGGTTGTACAGGGAATAGGTTGGAATGGTTGTACAGGGTATAGGTTGGAATGGTTGTACAGGGTTATAGGTGGAAATGGTTGTACAGGGTTATAGGTGAGAATGGTTGTACACGGTTTAACGTCCTATCAACAGCCAATGTCATTTAAGGACGTATTCATTAAAGGTGATATGAAGTAAACGAAACTTGTCACATGGATATGACCCTGAAATGACATTATATTACTAAGATTTAGCATCGTACAAAAAACGCACAAGATTGCACAATCATAGCGTAGCAAAGAGTAGTGTTAGCCTGACATTAGGAATACTCAAACAAACAGCTAGTAGTGAACCCAATGGAACAACTCTCTACCGAATGAGGAAGTAGATTTTACAAGACCGTCGAGGCAAGGACAAGCACAAGGAACACAGCTAATGCTATTGTGATTGTAATAACAACATGGATGATTTACACCAATTAATGCAGGCGCGCACTTGACGTCAAGCGTCACAATGGACGGAAGAGCCGAAGATAGAGACCGAAACCGAAGACCTGCGTCAAGAATGTATCTATGTTAGCTTCAATCTGATTAAAATACAGATTTTAATTCAGCACTTAATGTATAATGATGATATGTATTTTAATTAGATTGTGTTATATCAAACATTAATTCCACCAATGGTTACCTTCAGGTCTAGGTTCGGGTGCTCGGCTCTAAATATATCCCTTTTGATGACGTGCTGACCGGTCTCCTTCACAGTTGCCATGACGTATATGCTGACGTGACTATCCGGATCAATGTTGTTGATGTAGTCTGAGCATTTAACAGTTAATGACAGTTCCCCGTCTGTAGAAACAATATTACATTTACAAGTTAATACACGAGAATTTTTATGAAATGTTTCATGTCATATATCAACTACTTAAACATGTTTCGATAATTTTTGCAACGTCCTAATTAGAAAATGTCATGACTATTGTAACTTAAAAACCACTATGCCAATAGTCTGTTAAAGTTGCTCTAAACAAAATTGTTCTGTTAAACGTGAATAAGAAAATAAAGTGGTATTTTTTTCATGCATAGAAAAAAAATGGTTACGTACATTTTCCTCTAAATCCTAATATTTCACAAAAAGTAATGACACTTTTTTTAACATAATTTCGACGTAAACAGTACTATATGTGGTCTAAATTCACAAGAAACTTCAGAGATGTTATTTGAAATCTTTACACTTATTATCGATCCTGCCTAGGAGATAACGCTTTCTGGAGTATAAATTCGGTTTCTCTCCAACTAAGATAGCCCCGTCTGAGCCCACCTATGGATCTTATTTAATGTTTTACGTGCAGTATTTAACTTGTTATGTAGTTTCATGGTTCAATAATTCCATTTTACTTGAAAAAATATCTTCTTGAAATTCATGCATCCATCTTCAATTCATGTATTCCTTGGTCTCCCTAATGCTGATTAGTGGACGACATTTTCAACTTGATTCTAATTTGTAGATCTTTTAACCTACATGGCGCTGACAGGTAGCTGCCATTGCCTACAAGACACAGATTGGTGGATACCATACTATCCGGCGTTTAATGGTAAATGTCATAAACTATCTGACTGACTTATTGACTTATTGGTTTATAATTTGCCTACCTGAAACTGTTTGGTTGTTGAAATAGCCGCCTGATAATGGCAGATAGCATGGCTTATATAATAAATAACACCTGGCTGATGAATACCACTACATGATGCTGTTTTGAGGATATATCACAGCCTACAATAACTCCATTTATAGCCGACTTTTGGATACTGGTTGATGTTTTTTTAAAGCCTACCTGACGCTGATTGGAAGATGATTTGAGTTACAAGATAATGTTTGATTTGAGTTACAAGATAATGTTTGGTAATTGCCATAACCGACCTGACGCCGGTTCTAGGATGTTGGTAGCGGTGCTCTCTCTGAGTTCTGTGGCTGGCACTGAGGTGTACTTAGTTGAAATAGCTACGATGTTTCCCTCCACTACTCGACTTTCAACGCTGGTGTTAAACATGCCCAGACTGATATGGATATCGCCATTTTTCTTCATCTCTCCGCTGAATGTAAAGTCTACATCACACGCGCCTGGACTTTTAATTGGTTTCCAGTTTCGACAGGACAGGTTATTGGCCCGCTCCATGGCGGCTGCGTACTCCTGGGAATCTAGAATGACCGGAGGAGGTGTACATAGAATCACAATCGCAAGCGGAATAAGCACAGTTAACGATGTTTGAGATGGCGACAAAGACATTTTCAAAGAAGATCAGAATATATGCAATTTACTAGTAGATAAGCGCAACTGTATGGCAGAACTCTCTGCAACTGTATAGCAGAACTCTCTTAGAATGAAACGAGCTTTTACGATCACTGACAGCAGATTTTGTTTTGCTTTTTTTCTGGGGATGGGGTGGCTGCTGTTAACGTTCGTGCATCAGCTAAAGACTATGCTGACGTATCTAATTAATGACGTACCTGTGTTATGACGTACCTGTGTTACGACGCTTCATACCTGTAGGGTGTTTGTAGCAGTGTGTGACGTCCTCTCGGGAGATGGTTGACGCTGCCTTGGTACTAATAAAGTGCCCAGCGATGTCACGTTCCTCCTCTATCGGCTCCATGTTCCCCTCCGCGTCCACAGTCCAGTGAACGCGCGTGCCGTTTACCTCCGCAAACAGAAACTTGGCATCGAACCCCAGATAGAGCTCTCCGTCGCGGATGGCTTTCACCGAGGCAGGACCACAGGTAAACACACCTGGAATACAGAAATGTAGTGGAGGAATGAGGGGGTGACAATATGAAAGGAACGCATCAAAAATACCCAACAATTGAATAATGACAGAATTGGAGTCAAATGTACCCAGAAAAGAGGTGACACCAGAAGTAAAACGTAACCTTATAAGGTCATGGGCGGATTGGTCGAGTGGTTAACACTCTGGCCTTCCACGCAGGCGGCCGGGGTTCGATCCCCAAAATCGTCGTACGCATAGATATTCAGAGAAAGTGTTTTTTCTCCTGCTAACACAACTCCAACAATCCAAGTGGAGTATAAACTGGTCTGGGGTGGATGCTGCCGTATCTGTGTTATAGCATTCAAATGAGGTGCACTTTAAATGATACCGTTGGAAGTACGGTCCCACTACAAACAGAACACAATGCATCTCCAGCACACACGCAGGCATACACACATGGGGAGATATTAGCTAGGTGGTATAGGACTAGTAGTTAGCGCCTCATAAGGCAGCTCCTGCGACTTCCTAAAAAATGTATCGATTAATGTAAATATTAATTGTATATCTATGTACTGAACCAGAGGTCAACCAGATCTTGTGTAACAGAAAGGTAAGTAGGTATGAACTGATCTACCTACATGTAAGTGTAATCTGTCTAAGTGTTTCTTAGAAATAAAAAAATAAAAAGATTGCTCACGTGATGGACTGACGGGCCGGGTCTGTGAGATAATGTGTATGAATAAACCCTTACAAAATTTTGTGAACGACTTTTTACTCATCTTGTGCATTGTCTCCTATTTCACTAATGATTGTCACTCACGTTATGAACGGAATATAATCAGCCATTATACCGGAAATACGCATGTGCGTTTGACATGTATCGCAGTGTACACGGTTGGACAAGCCGTCACAGCAGTCATGCAACAATTTCCAGACCATTTATCTGTCGCCCAGAATCAATAGAGAAGTACGCCGCGAGTTCTCATAAACATCTCCGGAAAAGGTTCACTTAAGTCTAAGACGGAGGAAGGGAAGTTGATCCCCCGGGGCGGGCACGGGACAGTTGACTGTTACGTCACCGGACGGGTAATAGAATTACCATGTTTACTTGTCAAGTTATGTATAGTCCAGCGGGCGATGTCCTCCGATAGTGTTTAGGATGAGAGGGAGTCTCGATATGGAGAACTTAATGGTGGTTTGCATTTGGTGGTCTTCTAATACGATTCCGAATCGGTTCCGTACACCACAGTGTATTAAAACATACGCATGTGAGTGTTGATATAATCACGCAGAAATAAGGCTTCTTCAAAATAAATAATGTTCTCCAGACTATAACTTAAATAAAGAATGCTGAATCATAACTCGAAGCCGTCTGTAAACATAGTACTGACGCAAACCCCAGTCTGTCCATATCCGTCCCCGACCAGTGTGTCCATATCCGTCAAATCTCCCATCATGACCCACGATTGACAATTAGCTACAGACCACTGTATATAAGTTTTATGTACTATTGATTCGATACGTTTTCAAAACACATCTCGTCTACTTAATGGACCTACGTAACGACCGCCTTTGGATGTTGTACGCATGCCATGTTACTGAGCCATCCTATGGGTATTCTATTTCACCAAGTGCAGGCAATCATAACGAAATCACGTGCATTTATCTTGGTTGAATGATGGGTTGTTTACAAGTACACGGGGGGGCTATACGTGATGTGTCTAATATCAATAGTATTCAGAACACGTAGTAGAGAACGATAAATAGGTGTAAATTGTTACAGCCCGTGATATAACGCACTGGTTTAGAATCACGACAGTACACCGTAGAATCACTTCTTTTCAAGATAAATATAAAATGTCTGTGTGTACATTTGGGAAAACATTCCCTGTCAGAATCTATCACAACAAGATCATACTTAAAACGGTTTCTATCACGAGTTCTCAGTCTCGCTCCCGAGGGAGACATCAAATCAAAACATGTACATGTACGGTACATTGTGATGTGATAAAGCACGGGGTCTCCATCGTAAGTGGTCACATAGCAACAATAACACACCCATTCACCATGACGCCTCTAAATGTGGTTTTAGTAAAAAGTAATTAAGATGTTTTATCTGATGTGTGTTTCTTTTTGAGAAAGTTCTAATAATTATTTTTCTTAATCCGATTCTGGTCTTTACCCGCCATGTTTTGTCTTTACCCGCCTTGTTTTGTCGCAAAACGGGTTCTGTACTTTTGTCACTTCCTTTGTCATGACCTTTTAAATATGCATATTTAATTAGAAATATAAGGGAAAAGGTAAATCTGATGTACAGTTAAACTTGCGGTCACCCTCTTGGAGGCCAACACGAAAGAGGTATGTCATATTGGATTGTTTCCAAAACACCAACCCTCCAACCCCACCCAAAATATCCAAAAGTGGTCAAAACTATCGTGTAATGGTGGTTGCAGAGTACTAATCGTCAATATCAATTTAATATTTCATCCATTAAACGGATATCAACAACTCAGGATGCCAGTTTTCGTCAGATCTGTCGACGATATTATCAAGGCTGCTTGTACTTAATTATATAGAGGTAAAGTATTATAATAAATGTGACGTCACCTCTCTTTAGTCACACCTTTCAGACACTGAACACCAAATACCTTCGTAACACTCCTGTGGAGTCGGGTCGTAGGCCTGCCAACCATTATAACCACTGGGGAGGTCCGAACGGCGAAACCAGGACTCGTTCCAGACGTGGAAATCCCTACAACAACGTGGAGACAGCTTTTACAATACTGACAACACAACAGCGGGGTACAGACATGAACATATGCCATCATCAATGCTCATTACAAATAGTGTTATAGAAATCAAAGCCGGCGGCCCTCCTATGATGAGGAGCATATGTGGAAGTGTATCTGAGGTAGCACCTATTGTAAACTGAATCTTACCCATTGTGTATCGCGTTACTTTGTAATCAAGTTGTAGTCCTGTGAACATTTGCATTAATAACTTCAGTGATGTATGCTAACATACGTGTTAACTTGTCGGCGCGTTTATTATACTGTTTTATTGCGCCGTTCTGATTCTGGCTCCTGTCGTGTTAGCATACAACTAGTACATTTGTATCAGTGAGCCGAAATATTTGTAAATGTATTTAATTTCTGTGTCGATGTAATATAATTCATTAGGAATAAGAATAAAACTGTTTTAATTCAATTCATGAATCATTTCTTTGCAACGTTTAAAGGAAATAAAAATGGTAATACGTGCAATGACGTAAATTTGGTACACTTATGATCTAAAATGCTAGTATATATTCAATGTTTAATGAGACATATTACACGTTGTATCGATTTATTAATTACCATATTGTGTCATTCATCATTTTCCGAGGCTTGCCACTCTCCGTCCAAAAGTTGTCGATCTGCGTGCTGAAGTCGCTGTCATGCGCAGACCTGAAGTTGGTCACACATCTTGTCGGTATTCCCAGGGCGCGAAACACTGGAACACATAGGACGGAACACGTACAGTAACGCCTCGTTATACTGCCAATATTTGTTAAGAGAAATTTAGGCGTTCTAAAGGGTTAGCCGATAAATTGGGTGAATTGTAAAAATGACATCTTAGGAGGCTTTGAAATATATTTACGGTAAGCGCAATGGCACATGGAATAAGGGGCATTATATCAAGATCTTACTGTATACGTACTGATAAGTAAATGGACAGACGAGTTGACGGACGAATGCTCAATCAAGGATTTAACAAGGAAAGAATGCCGAAACTGGGATGGTGGTACAATACTTATTATGTACGTTCAGAAAGGCAATTATTTTTGTGTATGTATAACCTCAAAATGTTTATCTGTTTCAGAAAAGACAACTGTGATCTACTATCGTTTATGACGAACATAAAACCGACCAACAAACATTTGACACAGAATTAAGTGATCTTAACTTTCAGTTTTCTTATGAAAGCTATCAAGAGTCATGTGGAGTATTAAAAAGTCGGCATACAGACTGCTAATAGAAACACGCGCACCTGTGGTGGCAACAGCTGCGAAAGTCCAGCACTGTCCGAACTTAACGCCCTTCCTCTTCTTCAAGAACTCTTCCAAAATGGCGGCACTTCCATTCCATGCATATGGCGCGACACCATCGTCATATTTGCCGGACCAGTTCCCAATCAACACTCCCCCATCCCGCTCGTTGTTGTTGATCTGAAAGAATGGTATACGACATTATGTGACAAACATTGAGCTATCTACAATGATGTGTGTGTAACAGTACATAGTTAACCTTCTGAAGCTAGTAGCGTCTAGACCATTGCATGACTACAAACCTGAAGAAACACCGATACTTTCTTTTGAAATTCAACAACATTACTTCTAATCTACCGTTGACGCATGGGAATCCGACAGCTAGATCATTTTACAATTTGGCAGCTATCGTGTAGATGATTAAAAGAGAAAGCTGGAGATTCTGCTACATTTCATTAGGCCAGAACCCATTTTCTTGTATCCCCTCGTCTCATTTTACATCTGACAACAGTCTCCGCTACAGAAGGAAGTCCTTATAGTTCATTTGCAGAGCTTAGGTTTCCATTACGTTGTAATCAACACAACGGCGTGGCTGTTACCGTCTTCCAACTTAAGTTCGGGGACATCACAATATACCTTTTTGTATCCAACTGCATACATGGTCGTGATGTAGGATTTTACTCTGCTAAGGTAATATAGGATACCAAAATTGACTTGTGTACCATTGCAAAAATGTCGTTTCTAGTTCCCCTTTCTTGGGCATTTCAGCTCGTTGTCGGAACCACGTGACCCGGTGGGCTGTGCCCCTTCCGTAGCCCCATTATCTATTGACACCACACATGTATGACCTTATGTGTTTATAGGGCGCAAAACCCAAAACAAACCAACTCTCTATTAGTACATTTATCACATGGTATTTTCTAGGATAACAATTGGATAGTCTCATGAGTTCTATTTAGTATAGTATCGTGTGTCTTTGATTTGCCATTGACTCTGGACGACTCTTGTTGACCCTGGGCACTACTCCGTGACGTCATTTCCCCTGAGAACTCGCCTGACACCGAGGTCCTTTTTCTTCTCCATACATTACTATCAGAGAACAGTCTCAATTTATCATAATAGTAATACCTATCATACATAGCATTCGGTTGGCATCTACCTGTGTCACTCACCACACGTGACAGAGCACGGACGACCAGTAGAGGATTTCCCCTGGCCGGATCCCCCAGTTCGGATTTCTCCATCATGGCCAGAGCTGCCACGAGACAAACATCATCAAACTGAAAATATAAATGTGATGTGGTCTTTCTGTACAATATAGAATCGTATGTACGTCCCATAAGTCGTACTTCAATAGTAATTTATTCTAAGTTGTCATAGCCCAAACGAAAAATGGTAAGATTGCGTAAAAAAATATGTATTTAACGTGCACCCGGTTATCGTCTAGTGTACAGCACTAATAACAAACTCCAACAGTGTATTAGGTGACGGGCGTGACGGGCAAGTTGGCAATATAATTGATATAATTGTGTTTAAGGTATAAACGGTGGTATATATTAGGTATCAGAGACGTTTTGACAAGTACTTGTCCCAACATATCAGCGACGTTAATAGAGAGATACTAACCTACACAAGCTGTATTGCGCTATAAAGACCGTGAATAAACCCCAACTGTGACCATTTACTCCCATTTTTCAAATTTACGGTTATCATTTTTGAGGGTGATTATAAAGACAAATACGTGTTAGATGTTGGTTTACGACGGAGTCGATTTCATTCTATAGGAAAGGACCGACTGCACTTTCTATCTAGGATTGGACAACAAAGGATTGCTTCCAATTTTGGAGATTGCTGTCATTTTGGAGGTCGAGAAAGCTTTGGCCTGACGCTTGCTCACCATTAGGAGACAGTTTATGCGTGACAGTCGCCATGAAAGTCTTGCCTCAGGTCTGGTATGAATACAGCACGCATTAAGCATGTACACCAAGGGAGCGATAAACGAGTCCCGGGAACAGTCAACCGGCCAGCATAATGGCAGGCCTGCCGTCACTGACGAGGGCGGCAGATTTAATTGATAAAGAATCATGTCAGGGGGATCCGAGCACACAGATAGAAGGTTCGAAGGATTGTAAAGGAAAGAAAAGGAAATTGGATTGCCGATATTTCGTAGATACCGAAGTAGGCGCCAGTAATGGAGTAAAAACCGGGAGAATATAACTTACTGAAAAGATAAGGTAGTATTGATCTCACTGTTAGAATAGCCGTGTATAGGAGGGAGCGATATTTTTGGTACCGACAGAAGACATTCTTTAAAGCCTTAAAACAAAGATGATTCGGGGCAAATAAAAATCATGCACTGAAGCATCAAAAGACAAAGATGAAATTGTGTCGGATTCAGATATAACCAATGGGATACTAGTACATTTCATTCGTTAACAAGTCCGAGATCCGCCAATGAAAGACGTAAATATGAAATATATAATGTTCTTAATTAACAAGAATCTAGACTATATTCCAGTTTTGTCTATCGGAAATGGAGGCTGAACACAATCCTCATTTTACGATTCTCAGCTAATTATGGCCAACCTGGGCGAAATTCCACGGGCGGACACAGAACTTCCGGACAGTTCCCATCCATATCCGTCCGGTCTCATTTACCACGTACTCTTGCCGCAGGTTCTCGTCATCGAGGAACACCAGGTCGTCTGCAAAATCAAAAGTGAGCTGTGACAGGAGGGTTCCGGACAACAGGGTAGAGAAGTATAATGAACGGATACAGATGATGTTAACTTCCGGTCAAGTAGTATCTGACCTTCCCCGCATTACTTTCTAATATTTCTTTCAAAGATTCGACATTAATGGAGTTATAAGACATGATTAAAGGTTACCTGGGCACCATGGGTTGAAGATGACGTATATGTCGTCAGGGTGACTGTAGCGACACGTCTCGATAGTGCCGTCATTTTCCTTGTGTGTTGTATCGATAAATAACTGGTACCTGCCGACGATTGCGTCACTTCCGGAGCACACTTTAATGTTGACCTTTTTGTCCTCGACCCCAAGTATCTGGTAGCCCCATTTACCCGGGGAGATCTCTCGGACTTTGGTGACTGGTACGACCGTCCCCTTGCTCTGTAACGGCTGGCGTCCTGTAAACGACCACAAACCAGAGAATTCACGTTACATTTTAGAATTCTGTTTTGACACGCTGTGATATACTAAACTCATCCAAAATATTGGAGCCAAAATGGCTTATACTGTGTACCGGGAAATTTTTGCCGCAGATTAACTATCGCGGTGTAGATAAACACACAACATAGCATAATAGTAATAATACGAAAAGGGTGAAAACGGTTGAACCATTGAAGGGCGAAAATTTGAGAGGGCGAGAGTTTCCTGATAAACAGTCCACAACTACTCTTATGATAAAGGCCGGATAGTGTTCACATGTTGGTACATGACTAAGTAAAGATTTTATCAGAACTCTGTGATGAGAAATGGTACACGAGGAGACCGGGTTTCTATGGTACGATCTACATGGATACGCGCCCATAATGACACGGATGACATGTACTTGAATCCTTTATCGTTAAGTCGGCTCAGAAGCTTCTCCGCCAAATTAAGTTTACCGGAGTAACGATGTCGTACTGCCACCATTTACAAGAACATGCCATGACACGGGTTGACGCTGACATGCTGCAACGGGCGCGCGAGACGCCAACACGAGCAGAATGGCGGTAGTAGTTGACTCGCCCAATTAAATTAAGGACAATTTCTGTTCATATCCACTTTTAGTTGTATATACAGGGACAAGACCGACTTCTGTTCATAGATTTACAGGACAGACTGACTGACGGCTACTAATCGTTTACATAGTAAAGGCATGATTACACAATCGACAAACCTACGTTGAACATTGAAATATCGCAGACTTCAATCTGGCGCTCTTTGATTTCTCTAATTGCATGAATATATTTTGGTTTTATTTCAGCTTGATTACTGCTACAAATACCCACGTTTGCCTCCTGGCGTTCACGGAGGATACCTCTCTCTGCGACGGAACAGACGCAAGTCGCGATAAATATGTTTTTTATTGAAATTCGTAGACAAAATACAGATTAAATAAATCCCCTTTCATCCCTTTGTCCAAATAAGCGTCCTATGTGAGTGTTGAAATCTCCCCAAACTCGTCCTTCTTTTCCAGTAACGTCTTGTATTAAAACAGAAATTTATTCTGTTATATTTTGGATTTTTCCAGCAGAGGTTGGCGTTTCTGTCACAGAAAAAAAAAGTATTAAAACATCACAACGAGATCAAGATCGTTGCTGGCGTGTAGACGAGCCGTAATAGAGATTAATTACCTGGCATAACCCCCTGTGTGCACGCTGCCATTGAAAACGTTATGCAAAATGTCAGGTGGAAAACTGATATCCATGGATAGGGAAAGCATGCAATATATCTCACTGTCGGCACACGATATTTACTACCTGTTTGTGTATAACGTGGGTTATTGAGTGAATGATACAAGTGATGTGCTTTCTCATGTTGGTAGACTGTATTACCAATGGCATAGTGTGGTATGTTGATATGAGAGTTTGGTTTGGTTTTATAGGGTTTAAAGTCCTTGTAAACTGCTTAGGTCATTTAAGAACTCCATGTGTGCTTGTTGGAGGCAGACAGAGTATGATTGTGCGTTTGCGTCCTGATAGCGCAGATCTGATACCGACTTTTGAGTTCTACCTCAATGAAATACCATGCCGACAGCACCCAACACAGTATCCCATCCGATTACATTATACTGACAATCGTTGCGATGACCCTAAATGCTGAACGTTTAGCAGGGAACAATATCTACCATTTGAAGAACTTTGGTATGTCTCGGCCTGGGGACAGATTCCATTACCTACCCCACTTGGGCAAACGCTCAACATTACGGTCATAAGTGAGTTACATGTATCACAAAGCAAGGCACTGGGAAGCGAAAGTGTTGTCAGGAAATAGAGAGAAAATATAAATATCCCAAATGTTACATAGGGGGCAGTAGATCAATTGTGGATTCTTCGGTGTCCCATCAACAGAAGACACAGAGAAAAACCCACGATTCTGCAGGGGTGGGGCAGGCATTTCGCCTTAACGACATGCAGTGTGATACAGCCAGTCGTTTTTCCTGAAGGGTGATGGTATGACTCTTTGATGGTATGAGAGTCATACATGTAATTGTTGTGTGGTCATGGAGGACGAGTATTAGTTCCTAATGGGGTGTATATATATTGAGAGAAGGTATCATCGTCTCCCAAGTGGCCCAAAGTTTGCAAATTTAACTTAGTCGACGAACAAGATTATAGTTCAAAATATTGCCGTTTTCATTTTTATAGCGAATGAGATCAGGAACAATTGATATATTCAATCAGGAGTAACGTCCCTCCTGACGTCATGACCTGCATCAAAGTTTGTATTGTCACTGTTCTACTATTATATAGTTATGTAAATTTTATATAGTTATGTTAATGCAGTGTATGTTTGGCACAAAGAAGTTCTGTCTATTGCTGAATTAAAAATGTATGTTGTTAGCATGTGTTATGAACAGTACGTTAGCGTGTATTGTAAATTGAATGTTTGTTAATTATAGACCCATGTGTTCGGAATTGTATAGGTGTTACTTTCGTGTTTATTTATTGTGTTCACATGCAGTATACATTCATATTTGTTAGTGTGTTTTATTAATTTTACGTTTATTCATTTCGTAAGCATGTATTGTAAATTCTGTGTTTGTTTATTTTATCATCATGTATTACAATATTTTTTAATCAGGGTTATTTTTTGTTTTAGTGCAAGTCGTTATTGGGGGAAAAAAATACAAATTGTGCTTTCTGTGTAGTTGGTCGAGGATCCGATTCGTCCTGCTATTTTTGAAAGGATTCGGTTGGTAAATATTCAAACTAACAAGCTGATATTGCGGATAGGTAGAAAAATCCTGTAACTGATGAAACTGATCGCGAGTGTCAATAGCAGTAGCTGAACTAATGCTTCCTTGATAAACTATAATTGTCATTGGTTCATAGCTGATTAACTCCGCTTTCAATTCCAAGTAATTGACCGAATCTCTCCTAGTGTATTGTGTGATTTAGCTCGCTGATTTAATGTTATTTATCAATTCCAAGCGTGCATCGAACATGGACTATGCATTAGTGATGATCTGTCCTGCGTCAGATGCTAGTCGGTAAAGGGCCTTGCCGCGTGGTGTTACATGGCGCGTTAGCTATTAAGTCATTTTCTCCTCAGACTCCGCGGTGTCATACGATGCCGATTGAAAACGAAAAAGATAGTTTTAAACTGAAAGACAGACAATAAGAGAAAGCACATTGAACAACGAAAGCACCGCCTGGCCATTATTTACACTTCCGCCTGGCCATTATTTACACTCCACCTGGCCATTATTTACACTTCCGCCTGGCCATTATTTACACTTCCGCCATGAACAAATCAGCTACAATAACGTGTTCAATCTCAATTCAATAGAATCTTGGGGTTTCGATCACATCAAACATACACTGAACCCAGATCGGCACTCGTCAATTCACAACGGCATCGTCGGCATTTCAACTTGGAAGTTTTCAGAAAAGCAATAATAATTGAAATTTTGTTTTGTTTCAGCAGGAAACAAATTTAGCGAGTACAGCATTCTAAAATGCCAACAACAACCTTGGTGTGTTTGATTAGCGTTGGCTCTAGAATCTCGGAAATGGCGAAGATTTGAATTCAATCCTAGAAACTGAAGGAAGTGAGTTAGATTTTTATGGTGATTTTTTTTGCTTTTTCGCTCCATTTCGTTGATTGTAATGTGTAATCGCCTGTGTGTGCGCGAAAGTGGTCGGACGTACACAGCACTTACACGCTCGTCCAGGCTCCGCCTGTTACCAGCCTCATTATGTAGACATTTAGGAGCAAGTCTCCCATGCTACACCAATTACATCAACTCAAAGTGCTATCAATTACGTGTAATGCCTCGAGATTTCTCCTCAACGCGGAGAGAGCCTTCACTGTGACAAAGTCGGTAGAATGTCCAACTGTACACCCTATAGCTATAACGGGTACCATCCCCGGCTCATAGAGGGGCTTGTTACGGGAACCATCCCCGGCTCATAGAGAGGCGGGTTACGGGTTTCATCCCCACCTCATAGAGGGGCGGGTGACGGGTACCATCCCCGGCTCATAGAGAGGCGGGTTACGGGTGCCATCCCCGGCTCATAGAGAGGCGGGTTACGGGTGCAATCCCCACCTCATAGAGAGGCGGGTTACGGGAACCATCCCTGGCTCATAGAGAGGCGGGTTACGGGTGCCATCCCCACCTCATAGAGAGGCGGGTTACGGATATCATCCCCGGCTCATAGAGAGGCGGGCTACGGATGCCATCCCCGGCTTATAGAGAGGCGGGTTACGGGTGCAATCCCCACCTCATAGAGAGGCGGGTTACGGGAACCATCCCCGGCTCATAGAGAGGCGGGTTACGGATACCATCCCCGGCTCATAGAGGGGCGGGTTACGGGTTTCATCCCCACCTCATAGAGGGGCGGGTGACGGGTACCATCCCCGGCTCATAGAGAGGCGGGCTACGGATGTCATCCCCGGCTCATAGAGGGGCGGGGTACGGGTACAATCCCCGGCTCATAGAGGGGCGGGTTACGGGTGCCATCCCCGGCTTATAGAGAGGCGGGTTACGGGTGCAATCCCCACCTCATAGAGAGGCGGGCTACGGATGTCATCCCCGGCTCATAGAGGGGCGGGGTACGGGAACCATCCCCGGCTCATAGAGAGGCGGGTTACGGGTGCCATCCCTGGCTCATAGAGAGGCGGGTTACGGGTGCCATCCCCACCTCATAGAGAGGCGGGTTACGGGAACCATTCCCGGCTCATAGAGAGGCGGGTTACGGGTGCAATCCCCACCTCATAGAGAGGCGGGCTACGGATGTCATCCCCGGCTCATAGAGGGGCGGGGTACGGGAACCATCCCCGGCTCATAGAGAGGCGGGTTACGGATACCATCCCCGGCTCATAGAGGGCGGGTAACGGGAACCATCCCCGGCTCATAGAGGGGCGGGTAACGGTTACCATCCCCGGCTCATAGAGGGGCGGGTTATGGGTACCATCCCCGGCTCATAGAGGGGCGGGTAACGGTTACCATCCCCTGCTCATAGAGGGGCGGGGTACAGGAACCATCCCCGGCTCATAGAGGGGCGGGTTATGGGTACCATCCCCGGCTCATAGAGGGGCGGGTAACGGTTACCATCCCCGGCTCATAGAGGGGCGGGGTACGGGTAACATCCCCACCTCATAGAGAGGCGGGTTACGGGAACCATTCCCGGCTCATAGAGAGGCGGGTTACGGGTGCAATCCCCACCTCATAGAGAGGCGGGTTACGGGAACCATCCCCGGCTCATAGAGAGGCGGGTTACGGATACCATCCCCGGCTCATAGAGGGCGGGTAACGGAAACCATCCCCGGCTCATAGAGGGTCGGGTTACAGGTACCATCCCTGGCTCATAGAGGGGCGGGGTACGGGAACCATCCCCGGCTCATAGAGGGGCGGGGAACGGGTACCATCCCCTGCTCATAGAGGGTCGGGTTACAGGAACCATCCCCGGCTCATAGAGGGGAGGGTTACGGGTACAATCCCCGGCTCATAGAGGGGCGGGTTACAGGAACCATCCCCGGCTCATAGAGGGGAGGGTTACGGGTACAATCCCCGGCTCATAGAGGGGCGGGTTACAGGTACCATCCCCGGCTCATAGAGAGGCGGGTTACGGATACCATCCCCGGCTCATAGAGGGCGGGTAACGGAAACCATCCCCGGCTCATAGAGGGTCGGGTTACAGGTACCATCCCTGGCTCATAGAGGGGCGGGGTACGGGAACCATCCCCGGCTCATAGAGGGGCGGGTAACGGTTACCATCCCCTGCTCATAGAGGGTCGGGTTACAGGAACCATCCCCGGCTCATAGAGGGGAGGGTTACGGGTACAATCCCCGGCTCATAGAGGGGCGGGTTACGGGTAACATCCCCACCTCATAGAGAGGCGGGTTACGGATACCATCCCCGGCTCATAGAGGGCGGGGAACGGAAACCATCCCCGGCTCATAGAGGGGCGGGGTACGGGTACCATCCCCCGCTCATAGAGGGGCGGGTTACAGGAACCATCCCCGGCTCATAGAGGGGCGGGTAACGGTTACCATCCCCTGCTCATAGAGGGGCGGGGTACAGGAACCATCCCCGGCTCATAGAGGGGCGGGTAACGGTTACCATCCCCGGCTCATAGAGGGGCGGGTTACAGGAACCATCCCCGGCTCATAGAGGGGCGGGTTATGGGTACCATCCCCGGCTCATAGAGGGGCGGGTAACGGTTACCATCCCCGGCTCATAGAGGGGCGGGTTACAGGTACCATCCCCGGCTCATAGAGGGGCGGGTAACGGTTACCATCCCCTGCTCATAGAGGGTCGGGTTACAGGAACCATCCCCGGCTCATAGCGGGGCGGGTTACGGGTACAATCCCCGGCTCATAGAGGGGCGGGGTAAAGGTACCATCCCCGGCTCATAGAGGGGCGGGTTACGGGTACAATCCCCGGCTCATAGAGGGGCGGGTTACGGGTAACATCCCCACCTCATAGAGAGGCGGGTTACGGATACCATCCCCGGCTCATAGAGGGCGGGTAACGGAAACCATCCCCGGCTCATAGAGGGGCGGGTTACAGGTACCATCCCCGGCTCATAGAGAGGCGGGTTACGGATACCATCCCCGGCTCATAGAGGGGCGGGTTACAGGTACCATCCCCGGCTCATAGAGGGGCGGGTTACGGGTAACATCCCCACCTCATAGAGAGGCGGGTTACGGATACCATCCCCGGCTCATAAAGAGACGGGCTACGGGTACCATCTTCAGCTCGTAGAGGGCGGGTTACGGGTACCATCCCCGGCTCGTAGAGGGGCGGGTTGCGGGTACCATCCCAGGCTCATAGAGAGGCGGGTTACGGGTTCCATCCTCGGCTCATAGAGGGGCGGGGTACGGGAACCATCCCCGGCTCATAGAGGGGCGGGTTACGGGTACCATCACCGGCTCATAGAGGGGCGGGTTACGGGAACCATCCCCGGCTCCTAGAGAGGCGGGTTACGGATACCATCCCAGGCTCATAGAGGGGCGGGTTACGGATTCAATCCCCGGCTCATTGAGGGGCGGGTTACGGGTACCATCCCTGGCTCATAGAGGGGCGGGTTACGGGAACCATCCCAGGCTCATAGAGGGGCGGGTAACGGTTACCATCCCAGGCTCATAGAGGGGCGCGTAACGGTTACCATCCCCTGCTCATAGAGGGTCGGGTTACAGGAACCATCCCCGGCTCATAGAGGGGCGGGTTACTGGAACAATCCAAGGCTCATAGAGGGGCGGGTTACGGATACCATCCCCGGCTCATAGAGGGGCGGGTTACGGGAGCCACCCCTAGCTCATAGAGGGGCGGGTTACGGGTACCATCCCCGGCTCGTAGAGGGGCGGGTTGCGGGGACCATCCCCGGCTCATAGAGGGGCGGGTTACGGGTACCATCCCCGGCTCGTAGGGGGGCGGGTTACGGGTACCATCCCCGGCTCGTAGAGGGGCGGGTTACGGGTACAATCCCCGGCTCATAGAGGGGCGGGTTACGGGAACCATCCCCGGCTCGTTTGAGGGCGGGTTACGGGTACCATCTCCGGCTCGTAGAGGGGCGGGTTACGGGTACCATCCCCGGCTCATAGAGGGGCGGGTTACGGGTACCATCCCCGGCTCATAGAGAGGCGGGTTACGGGTACAATCATAGGTATGCTTCACATAAACTGCACACAAACTCCAAAACCTAACTTTTAACGCTAACCCGTAAAACCTAACTTTAAACAACAATCCTAATTTCTTACTCAAAAGGCTAAAAAGTATAGCCCAACTCAAACGCTAACCCAAGATTTCTAACTTAAATTAAACATTAAATTACCAAAGTATACTTTAAAATTTTGATATATCTTCAAAAGAACACAAAAAAAATCTATTCACCTTACCTAGATCTTAGTTACATTTACTCTCCATTCTAGTTATACTCATGCTTTAACGGTAACTTTTTAACCCAAGCCTATCTCTAATCACCTAATTCGTCAGATTTAATATCGCGAGTTCTGGGTACAGTTATGTGACATATATTGTCTGATTTAAAATATATTTTCTTATTATGTTTTATTTGCAGATTTAATCGAACGATGTACCGGGGTATGTATATTTTGTCTTATAAATTTTACAATGAAATAAAAAGAGGTGAAGCGACAAATGTCTGCTCACTGGTATGCTTATAACTAGTTTCAATGGTCAATGCCTGATTGTTTTGTCAGACTTGACATTTACCTGTCACAAATTTGAGGACGATGTCGTCTGTAGACTCGGTAAATGATCTGTCGAATGTGATGCTGATGTCGAATGTCTGGCCCCGTCTTAATATCAGGTTCGGGATCTCGTAGGCGCTCGTGCGATGTACGCTCCTGTTAAACGTGCGCTGGAGGTCAACACATCTCGGCTTCAGCTGGGTATCTACCAATAAACAGATACAACGATAGAACAAATTTATCAAAATAGGAACATATGAAAGGAAGGAAAACCCTAACACCAATAGTTGTCATTCAGTGATACAACACGTGATGTTCCGACGCCATGCAGTTACATAACAAACCTAATGGAACATGCGAGGTTACGTGTTACACCGTATATAGTGTTGGGTTATGTGAGCAGAGTCAGGGTTTGGCTGACGAAATGGTTCAAAATTTCTGTGAACTGTGTGTGAACCCCGAGTGGTTATTTCGCAGCAGTAATGACATCTGTAACATACGGTTTCTCCGCACGTTTTGTATAGTTGAAATGGTGACGTAAGACTTGATAAAAGCTAAACTTTGAAGTTTAATTAGAGATAACGTCCGACTTGACGGTGGGCTATTCTGAAGTGTCCAAAATATTCCCGGTGTGTTAAAAGCAATTCGCTGAAATTGATAAATCTGGAGATGTTGACCAAAAATTCTTCTGAAAACTGTTCAAAGGTCGTTGTCTCAATGTCCGTGGTTGTCTGACAGAAATGATACATAGCGGTATCACTCTACGCGAACCTGAACAAATTGTAGAAGCTTGGGGTGATCATTTTAACAAGCTCTTTAGTAATGAAGTACACGAGTCTTTTGATGACGCCTTTTTCCAAGACGTGTCAATTAACATTGATGATATCCAAAATAAGATTCATCACGACAGAGATATGTTTCTGGAGGAGGTTTTTTGTGTAAAACTCAAGAATAACAAAGGTGGCGGCTATGGTAGCCTCGTCTATATGAACATAATTTTTAAGAATTGAGGTGATACGTTATTATTTATGTTACACATTTGTTTTGCAACAAGTTGTGTATTTATATGATGCTGAATATAATACTCACTTTGGTGTTATGTTAAATCCTAAATTTTGTTCATCAGATAGAACAGAGACGGTTTGTAGAAAATACAAAAAGTGGTACTTTGGCTCTTATAAGGTCTGGTGCTCACCCCAGAACTCTCAACCCATTAACTGTAGCCAAAATAAGTAAGACAAAAGTTTTTCCGTCTGCTTTAAAATGTTACCGTGTATATATTGAAGCTCAGAAACTCAGAGACGATATCTGGTGCCTTAAAAGTACTGAGTTTGATATAGAACGACTTGTTTACTTGCACTCCTTGTCAGACTACAATTTAATTCACATACTACTTGGAGGTATCCTCCAGTACAAGTTATGTGAATTAGATTATGAAAACTGTGTACTGATTTGTGCTATTTCTGTAGATAAAATGTTGAAATAAAAAATAAAATTGTAATGAAATGCATGTTATTCTGAGAATGAATTACCCTATTGAGATTGTGCAAACATTTCATCACAGACGAACAATGTGTTAATAATTTATGTTTCATGCATTACGAACTATTTTTGTACGTAAGTTATGAATTGAACTTTAATTAACTTGTATAAATGTAACTGTGACTCTTCAAATTGGAAGAAATAATAATAATAACTAAATACGTACAATTAAGGTAATTATCTGAGCTTTGAGTGACAGGTGTCACTAATTGTAGGATCACGGATATTAGATTAGGCTATCTAAGTCCGTGGTAGGAACAAGCACCTGTGGTCAGTGTCCACAAGGTAAAGGCTATTACACTAATCCTGTTACGTAATGTGATGGACAATGGTTCAAAGTTCAAAAGTTATTCTATTTTCTTGTCAAACACATAATATTCATAAAATCACACTACATATAAACATTTTCAGTGTCCAGTCCAAATGACGGTAAAAGATCAATCACACTATTTATGAAATACAAGTATTAGAGACGGTAAGAGAACAATCACACTGTCTATGAAATATTTAAAAACAACACGTTTCAATTAACTCAGTTAGAACATGTAATGTCATTAACCAGTATTTTATAAAAGACAAGTATGCTCATGTTAAAAGTGCATGCTACTTGCTAGTGACTGGACTATATGTATATTTATGTTATCACCGTGTACACCCTACAGGTTTNATAACAATGACCTTACAACACCTACTAACATGCTTAATGATGATCTTGACTCAATCTCTGAATGGTCAAAGCGATGGCAGATCCTATTCAATCCGAATAAGACTGTAGCTATTAACTTCTCTCGTAGACACATTAACAATCATCCTCAACTGCTATTTAACAATACTCCAATTGCACAACATGAACACCATACTCACTTAGGACTAACATTTAACAGTAAAGGGACATGGTCAGATCACATTTCAAATATTTATAAGAAAGCGAACTCTAGACTAAGTATTCTTAGAATTTTAAAAACTACAGTTGATAGGAATACATTAAAAACATTATATGTCTCTTATATAAGACCTGTGCTAGAATATTCTGATATAGTATGGGATAATTGTACCAAATCGGAATCAGATCTTTTAGAATCAGTTCAACTAGAAGCTATGCGTTTAATTACTGGCCTCAGACGAGGTACATCTCATCATATTCTGTATACTGAAACACAACTTGAAACATTACACACACGAAGACAAAATCATAAACTAACATTAATGTATAAGATTCTTAATAATTACACTCCAACTTATCTCGATAATATCATTCAACCATTTCTAAATGTAAATAATAACTATACCTTCAGAAATAACAGATTCTTTAATATACCACAGACAAGAACTACTACTTATATGAATAGCTTCTTCCCTTCTACAATGGTAAAATGGAATGCACTTGATAGCACTGTACGAGACTCCATCTCAATTTCATCTTTTAAAAAGAAACTTAAAAAAACCTTTGATACATCCGTCTCAGAAACTTTTATTAACTGTGTTCCGAGGAAACTTAACATAATTTTATGTCAGCTAAGAAATTTTAAAAGTGATCTTAACTGTGATAAGTTACAAGACCATCTGATTGATGATGCTTCCTGTGTATGTGGTGTACAGAGGGAAGATCTAATACATTTTTTCTTTCAATGTCCTCTGTATTCTAATATTAGGCATCATATTACCACTATTTATAATCTAGTAGGATATTTAAATCTGCACTGTTTAGTATATGGTATTAGTAATGCATCCAACCAATTAAATAAAACTATTCTTATACATGTTGACTCTTATATTAAATCATCAAAACGTTTCGTTACTTATACGTGCTAGATAAATTTCCAAATGAATATTCATGTATTGTTATAATTATTGTTATTCAGGCAAGTTTTATCCCTTAAATAACGAGTATTAGACATAAGCTGGTGTGGGTGTGGGTGTGCATGAGTGTGAGAGGAAACGAATCACAACATTTTATATATTTAAGCATTGTACATATCTACCGGAATTAGAAGAAGACTGATATAGGCAAAGCCTGTTGTCTTATTCTTTTGTCAATACTGTTCTAATATCTTCTTTAATGATAACTTATATGTTTGTATTATATATGTATTGTCAATAAAATACTTTTGAAATTTGAAATACACCCTACAGGGTGAGAGATAAACAAGAGTGTTTGGGCCCTACCGACAAATTATATAACCCCCACCCCGTACCTGCAAATTTAATATTATACATACATTTTCTGGGAGAAACATGGTTCTCCTCCTACACATAAGGAAAATGAGTCATTCGAAATTAAGTACATGTATATAGTCAAATCTATCTAAATGTCCTAAAGATACACTTGTTTTGTAAGAAAAAGTCACACTTGAGTTATAACTAGTTATAGCAAGATTTGAACAATTCGAAACATAAGTTTGATAATAAATTGTAGGATTTTTTTTTTTCATGAATAATCAGTTATTTTCACAATTATTTCCCCCAAAAATGTCTATGTGATCTGCATAATCTCCTTTTGTTATCATCGTGCGAGTCGAGCGGTCTGCCGTGTCTATAAGCACTATAACTTGATATAAGTATCGAAATAGTTCACCAGCAAAGATCGGATGATGAAGATTTTTTTGTTATGACAAGAGATGTGTAAATGAGGTAACCATAATGTCACCATGAATCCAGAATTACTCTGCTGATAGATGATATGATCGTTATGCACAAAGTCCATCGTTGAATGAATTCTATTTTGAATAATAGTTCGTAATGCTTGTCTTTTCATAGGTTTCATCCGATTCATGTAGCTATGTACAGGCAACACAATCAAACTAGCTATAGCCTATATCTCTTATCGTAAATCCGTCCGTAGTGTAGATTCTAGCGAGACTATTATTATGGCGTACGCTATCTCTAGAGGGGTTCCGAAACACATGTGACGCCTCGATGGTCACACTCAAGGTTGTTTACACGATGAGGAATCAACGAAAGGACCGACTTTTATAAAAATAGGGTATTATTGAACATGTGTTTGTTTTGTTTGTGTCTCGCGGTGTTCTGGTGGAGAAGGAGTATGTACGCTCGTCAGAATGTACACGTTAACTCGCTAGTGTACAGATGCGAAAGAGTTATAAAACCGTCCACCGATTTTTAACAACAGCCCGGCTAGCTCAGTCGGTAGAGCACGAGACTCTTAATCTCGGGGTCGTGGGTTCGAGCCCCACGTTGGGCGGTTTATTTTTTCTTTTTAATTTTACGGGATGTGCCGAGTATTGTTTTCCTTTTAATTTTACGAGCGCTTTCATCAAACTATGGAATACAGATCAATGCAATTTCACCACATTGGTCACAAAGATGCTTTATGGGAAATTTGATTGACAAATCAATTTGTAAGAACAAACAATCCCCTATTAGGCTAGAACACCACCCTGGGATTAATAGGCTCGTGTTTACATTATGACAAGATGTAATGATGAACAAATTGCTTTTTTTACATTTTAAATTTTTTACCAAGACAATAGTGTCAATGACGGAGTATATTATTACGAGAGAATGTGATCGTTGACCGTCAAAAAAATATGTGACTCTTTAAAATTACCATAGGATTGTTGTGAAATGTAAATATAGGAGATATCGGAGAAATATTTGGAGAATTGTTGTTGTTTTTTTTTGTTTTTTTATACAGCGCTCTAT